TATTTCAATTTATCGCTTATCTATAAAAAAATTGAATTCTCCCGGACAACAAAAGTGTTTTAGTTATTGCTAACCACAACAAATTAAAGGTTGACATAATAGCCTTTCAGTTACACTGTTAAGTGTACCTACTTATCGTAACAATTGCCGGTGAGTTCAGTTCTATTTCGAGCAGTGGTAATTTATGGATCTATTATGGGATATATCAAAGGTGTCCAGTATCAAAGGTCATAATTTGTTAAATGGATAAATGCAGATTTGTTACTTTCGCAGTGCGGAAGATTACGTAATAATATATTTAAACTACCTTATATATATATGTATACATACGTTAGTGCCATTGAAAATTTTGACTTGTTTACTTATGAAAATGTGCTTACGAACTAGTGTCCACGTCGTAAATAATAATTTAGTTAATTTAACAGTTAAATTGTGTCGCTACATATGTTTAAGAAATCTAAAATCCTGACAATATTACAACATTATAGGTAAATATTAGCGATGCTCCGACTATTCGGCAAAGCCGACTATTCGGCCACTTTCATAGTCGGCGACTATTCGGCAACGCTCGCCGACTATTCGGCAACGCTCGCCGACTATCCGGCTTCTTACTTTTGTATGTATTTTTCAATACACTATATATATGAGGAATTACACAAACTTTGATTTTTAATTAACGTTATTATTTTAGAATCAATCTCACACATATCGATTTATCTTCAGTAGTAAATATTGATAAATATATTGTACTTATTTAAATAAAAGAGTAGGAATTTGTATTATTAACAGGCTTGGATTTGCGACTGGAAGGAATAGTCTGTGATCGAGCAACCTAACTGAAGTGTTGAGGTTGGATATCGGTATTTGATATTGTTGTTAGTAGACAGGCTTCAAAATCCCATGTATTTTCTTATGAATAAGGTTCATTTTCGTCCTTTTTCGACCGTTTTACCCCTTCCACTCCTACTCTGACGTCAGGGCCGTCTACCATCTTTGACAGTTGGCATTGTCAGCCATCTTTGACAGCTGTCGTTGCCGGCCATCTTTGACATCTGTCATCGCCGGCCATCTCTGACAGCTGTCACCGTGAACCATCTTTGACTGTCATTTTCAGCCAGGGCTTCGCTCTGCTACTATCGTCTGCGACTTTGAATTTTCCGCTATCTTCGCTGCAGTTTGTCCTCTCGCCACCAGATCTCTTGTAGTATTTGCCCTGGCCACCACGATAATTATCATTTGGCACTGCTTACACTTGACATTACAGGAATCATTGTCCAGTTGGTAAAAAAAGTCCATACGCGAGATTGCCTTTTTGACATGATTAAATTATAATTGAGCTCTTTCACTTTAATGAACAAGGAAAGTATTATTTTTTACACAAAAGTACTATTTTACCCATGCAAAAGCAAAAATCAAGAAACAATGCGAAGTAAGCAAAACTTGCGCTCAAATAAGTTGTAAACGAAGCATCATGGAAATTGCCGAATATCCCCGAAACCGTGATCGGCTTGGCCGACTAATCGGTCGACTAGTTGGCCCCCCTTTAGAACCGGCTAGTCGGCCAAAGTCGTAATGGGCACATCCCTAGTAAATTTATTTAAGAAAACAAAATAATGTCAGTTTAAATCTTACAAAAGATATAAGTACGCGAGGATTTGAAAAATCATTAGTTTGATCGTCAAACCAGGGTGACGCTCCCAAGAAATTGAATTTGTACACTAAGGTTTTTATCTTAACACGCTAACGTTGTAACACTTTTTATTAAGTTTTATTCCACACAATTCAACTGGAAGCAACGGGATCACTTAAACTCACAAAAAGGAGTTAATGTTGTATGTAGCGAGAAACCGGGTTTACTTATGATATCAAATAACAATACGCCAAGGGTAGTTTTTAAAACGGTTTATTCGTGTTTGACCAAGGTAGAACTAACTTATATTGGGGTGGTCTTATATAGGTCACCTAATTACTACGTGAAATTATACTAATAATATTAATATTCTGTACATAACAGTACATATATTAAATTAAAATAATTCGAAGTGGTCTGTATTCTATCGAAACTGACAGACGCGGATCGCGATTTCGATTTTTTTGAATCTCATCAGCGCGTCGCAGGCATCTCCGACAGAACACAGACCAACTTTTACCTGCTGTCTTAACAGCGCGTTTTATAAAATACTACAAATGGCGCAGTAAACGCCATCTGTAGCACGATGCTACATTTTAGGATAACGAATGCATACATATATTATTTTTTTACACTTTGAGATCCAAATCCAGACATCATAAACTCAAATAAAATAGAGAATATCGTCACTAATTATAGATTCATTGTAAAAACTTATATGGACAGCTTCGGAGACTGACCGTAAATCCGAAGATTCCCGTAAAGTCAGTGCAGGGATTTCTAGTGAATATTGAAACTGAAGGAGATGTTAATTTCTATACAAAACGTTAAAGAGTTTAGGCGTTAATTAAATCGCTAAATCCCCTAATGACGGCGGAGTAGTACATAGGTATACCCGTGACAAAACATTGATGTCCACGAAATTGGCAGGTTAACTAAGCATAAACATTTGTCGTTCTTTATCGGCTAATTAGTCGTGATAAAAAAATGCGATTATCATTTTCAATAAAATATTTCTATTAAAATAGAAAAACGGTTGTTTCTAATTTACCAGTTTTTATCCAGTGACTATGAAGCTAGCAAGTCACAAGTTGACAAAATTGTTAAAATAGAAAAAAATGTGGTTTGCAATTTGCCGTTTTTATCCTCTAATTAATATAATTAAAGAATTTGAATCATGTAAATACGTACCAAATTAAAGAGTTGGATCCGTTCTAATATAATATAAAATATTTTAATGTAGCCAATTGTACACTTTACTATGTACTTCTATAATGTGAAGAATTTTACCTATATTATGACGAACTCTAACTATTAAAATTTTTCCTTTTTATGTTAAATAAGTCTGCTGCTACAAGGGCGACTATTTTGTTTACTTCCTGTTTTCTTGCTAAATGACCATATTCATTGTGATATTTTCTTTATTTTATTTTTGACTGACTGACAAGTAATGTTGGTAAAGAATGGAACTCTTCGATAATTTAAGTCTTTTTGAATCGTCGTAATGGGTAAACTTTTTCCTTGTTTCGTTATATTTGAAAAGTAATTATTATCTATTTTATATTGAGTACTCATCGGTGCTAAATTTCGTAAAAAAAAGCAAAAGTTTGAGGCAGCAAATGAATTCTTTTACTGTAATTTTAAATGTTTTATTATTACAAAATTACTACTATGCAAAAAAAGCGTCTATCTCATATCGAACGGGCTACGGCGCAGGCGAACTTGAATCCGTCATTGCCTTCAATACATGTTCGTCTGTGTAGAAGTGACAAGCATAACTTATTCCAGTTGAATTGATGCTGTTCTGATTCTGGTCGAAAGGCCGTCGTGTGTTGTAGTCAAAACAGAATCAGTTCACCTCCTGGCCGCGAAAGCCTTTACCAATTTTTTTATTAGAAAAAAAAACAAAACCGACTTCAAGACTACTTACATTAACAAACTTATACTAAAAAGCAGAAAGTAATATGTTAATTACTTCAAATCAAAATGCATTACAGAACAATTGACAATAGCGTTGGTACTTATAAAATACATTTGCAATTATCAGTTTTTTTTTCTTCATTAATCAATTAATATGTGAATGCGACAGCAAAGATCAGACAAAATAAATCGGACGAAAAGTTTGTTGCAAAGGCAGGATTAAACTGTCCCTCTTGACTGGCACCGACTCCAAAAATAACTCATTATAAATTGTAAATGTATATAAGTATCAATGATATTGTCGATTGTTCTGTAAAATACTTTGCTTTGAAATAATTAAAATATTATTTTGTACTTTTTAGTTTAAGTTTATACATGTACATAGGTATAGTTTTGAAGTCGGTTTTTGTTTTTTTTTTAAAGAATTTTATAAATCAACGGTTTGCAGCGGGTTTTATAACGACGATTTTGATAGTTAGAGAGTTAGACATGTTTCTGCAAAAGGTAAAATAAACAAGGAAATAACCTAAGGGAAGTTATGGATTTTCTTAAAAAGTACGAATGGAGTAGGGGGCTTAATTAGAATTAGTTTAATTTATTCCCTTGCTCATCACAATTTCGAACTCATCCTGCTCAATTTAAAGGAGTTTTTCTGTTCTTAGTAAATTAAAAACATCCTTGTGGTCGACAATGTCACAAGATTTGTTAAATAAAAGCTGGATTCTCACTATCCGTAAATTGGCGGACAGCAACCGTCCGTCAAAGTATTATTTCGTTTAAAAGGCGTTATGTGTTCTCTACTATCCATGCAAGTCCCCGTTAGCCCCCGGCTAGACGGCGTCTGCCGGTGACCAATATTGCTAGAGAAAATATAGTTTGACGTGGTAATGGATAATGAGGATACGTTCAATCGATCATTACCCAGCAAAAAGGTGCTTTTATTAAGCAAAAAGGACGGAAAATTAATTCTTTTAGTACTAACTTACGAATGTTTATTTATACAATTTAAAATAAAAAGATTATAGTGACAATAATGTAAATGAAAAAATATGAAAAAAGAATTTATTTTTCCGCTTTTCTTGTTTTCCTTTTCTTTTTCAGTGAGGCTAACATAAAGCTAGACCACACGTATGTTCTATATTTGTAACGGTGATACAGATGAAGAGTGGACTGCATATTGTCAGTGAATTTTTGTTGTGGTGTGTGTTTGATATTATTTTGCGGTAAGTTTTGATACGAATTCTACAACTAAGTGTCTTAGTATTGTGAAAAATGTTATATGGAATGTTGAACTACAAATCTAAAGCTTCTTTTATGTATATACATTTTTCTTAATCTTCATTTGCGTTGCAAAAAAACGGCTAATTTTATGTTATGTGGGTAATATGGCCCGTTACTGTAAAATATATACGGACCAGTGCTCCATATTAGCATACTTTCTATATTGCAGGCGATTGCTCCTCGTCGCACACAGACCACGAAAAGAAGGTAATTATGGGACAGAAACGCAATGAAAGAAGCTATATGTGCAATCAGGGAAAAGAAAGATGGGATACTTAAAGGCATTCAAACACTACTAGGTACCAAAGGCTACACTTCGCCGGTTGGTAGTAAAAGAAGATTTACCTTTAGATTTAGTAACATCTGCTAAGTTAGGCTGAAAGTAGGTTTTGTCACCTGAACTAGAACGAGCACTTGTTGATTACATCTTAAAAAAAAAAATAAAAAAGATTATAAGAGGAAAGAAATGCAAAAATGATTACTATTCTACAAGTTCAGAAAGTGACGAAGACGTCATTCCTGACGACCGTACCAAAGGCAGTCCTGACAGAAGCTGTGTGGATGATGCTAAATGTATTTACTGTAGTGGCTTATACTCAGAAGATCGATCCGGAGAAACTTGGGTACAGTGTGTTTCATGTAAGCTTTGGGCACACGACCTATGTTCTGGTGTGGATGAAGCCATTTTTGTATGTGAACACTGTTCTCCGTTAGATTAAATATGGGCTAGGTACCTGGTCCATATTTAACTCAACATAGTGCATATTACCCAAACCTTTCCAAATTCTTAAAATATTCAGTTTGTTTTTGTCTCAATTATTTTTCTGTTTTAAATTGAGAAAAAAGTTTATTTTAGTTTATTGTTAGATTCTTCGATACATTTACTAATTAATATTTAATAAAATATTATGATTTGACTGCAACGCATGGTGTTATTGTTAATTGAGTTTATGGTAGTCCATATTTACCGCACTTACTCTACTAATAAAATATTAGTTTCAACAATATTATTTTGTTTTATCCTTTTCCCCGTTCATCCAAATCGCGTTAGGTCAACTGTCCACCCTAACTAAACATCAGGGAAATGTGCTTTGTACCAAGGGTTCAGATTAGGTTATGATATGAGAGATCACCATGGTATAATTCGTAGACAACTGTACCCATCCGTTCTAATTTGGACGGGTTTGATTTATCACTAAATATAATATTCTGAACTTGTTCATAGAAATAATTTAAAGCAATGGTGCACTGTGATTACATGTAAAGGTCTCGTTGAAAATGTCAAATTCATCATATTATATACATACATAATTGTTTGACTAACTAAACGTTAAACTTCTTACTATCAAATAGAGGGAAATATGTCTCATCAATACGCAATGTTGCGAGTTACCTGCTTTATTTTTACAGTACATTCAATACTACGGAATTTTATGTGTTTAGGTTATAACATCATCGATAAAAATTCCTTACTTCATTATGTCACCCACTGTATTCTGCAGTATTAGATAATGATGCCCATAATTAAATGTATAATTTTTCTAACAGAGGCACTACTAATCACTGAAATGGTATAATTGTTGTTTTTATTGTTAACACTAATTTGCAGGAAGTGTTATTCCAGTAAAAGCTCTTTCGATAGAATCTTATAATTTCGTGCAAAGGAAATTGATTTCCATAGGTGCAGGTAATAATCAGGAAACGGAAGTAATTTGCAGGTGCGATAGATATTTATTTACATTAATTAGAGAACAGTTCAACATCTAGTTTACCTACCGTCAAATTAGTATCGTCGTTAATACAGTAGAACCTCTATAACTCGAATATCAAGGGAGACGCCAAAAAAATCAATTTACAGAGTTTTCGACTTATGGAGGATTTTGACTTAGGCGGATTTTGTAGAACTTGTAGAGGTTACGATTTATTATTACTAATGAGTTAGAGAGGTGAAATAAATAAAAATACAAGTTACAGAGGTAACAAACATATTTTTATTTACTTTAAATCAACATTATTTTAAAACACCCTTACAATAAAAAATATATGCAGGTACATAGTAGGTATGTATTAAACAGTCAGTATTTAAATTATCGAGTTGTAAAGGTTGTAAAATAAAAATTTGCTATGTTCGAGATACAGCAGGGGTCCAATTTAATTTTTCGAGTTATGGAGGGAAAATATGTACGAAAATGACAGACTCACTGATTATTTTGACTAATAGAGGGCTGAGATTTCGAGTATTGGAGGTTTTGGGGCTTGAAGGGAAAGGAACAAAACATTTTTTCGAGTTTTGGAGGTTTTCGATTTATCGAGGTTCGACTTAAAGCGATTCTACCGTATTTTAAAAGAAATAAGATAAAAATATTTCAGCCAAAATCCTTTGTTTAATTGCGTAATGTATGTTTTTGAACTATTTTATTTATTGTATATTTACAAATTATATAGTCATAATTTTTGTGACATACCTTAACCAATCAAAATAGTATGTTTAAATGTATAAAAATTATAAACCCCGGAAAATCGCATTATCATTCATATGAATTGAAAGCGCTAGCGATTCTGAATTCAGTAAAAACATGTAAGAGGGTGTACTTAATTAGAATTCATTTTACAATCAAAACCTTCGCTTTTTAGCGCAAGTGTCCACACATCACTTCAGAGGTAGACCACCTATTTCGACGGTTCTTCTCCAAATTTTTTTTTCCCAATTCAATCCTCTTCCCACTCCCACCCTTTCCATTTATTTCCCGGGGATGTACAATCTTCGGGTTTATCGTCCCACTCGAGGAGGGATTTTAGTCAGTAAAAATCCGACACTAACTCCCTTCAGGAGGTGTCTTTTGAAGATTTTCCCTCTTCGAGAATAAACTAAACGAAAACAATACGATCAAGACAGACCATAATAGTTTAAAATCCCTTGAAGGGAAATTAATTTCATTAATTTTTTCTTTTGTGTTTTTAATATGAAGTCGAGGTGTACTTGTAGTAACGAAGTAGTAAGTTGTTAATATTTAGTTTATTGGTCATTTCACAACCGTCCTGTCACTGATTACATTCTCCATCGACGTCTGCTCCATTGTTATCACAATTTCACTGCACGTTGCCAAATCACATGCAGGGCTGGCTTCGGGTTGTAACCTCCTCTTCTTACAATCATATCTCGTTAACACCCTCCAAAGCTTGCGTCTTATCTTATTTCAGAAACCTTGTACAATATCTACAGAGAACAGTAGAAAATTAAGAACAAAATGTAGGGGACCGTATCAGATATCTATAGGGTATTAGAATAGGATAGACAGTTGATAGAGGATACCAAAAGTGGAACACCAAAGTGGAAGGTCTTACAAAAATATTTTATCCACTGGTAGGCTTAAACTTGCATTCATTAGGATCTGATTCCAATGACATCTACAGTAGTTTCTTCAGTATTATCAGTGATGTAATTGTTTTAGTCTTGGTTGGTTAAAACTCCCACAATTGATTGGGCTTTCTTTTATTTCCGTAAAAACAGAGTTGATGATTTAAATCAAATCTTGACTTTAACCAATCTGATTTTTTTAAAAATAAAATCATGATTAATTTAAGAAAATGAAGTTAGTTGGACATATTTGTTAACATATTATAATAATTAAAAGAGGATTTAACTGCTTTAAAAAAACACAATTTTTAATAGTTTTTTAATACAAAAAAGAGAACTGTACCTAAAGAAAAGCTAAATATTCTTGAACTTTTATAATACCCAAGTTTGTTTAATATATCTGAATGTTCGAGTCAGGACACTATAAATAGTTAAAATTCTTAGAAATTCTAACTAATATTATAAATGCCAATGTGTTGTTTATTTATTTGCTATGATTTTACTCATTAACTATCAACAGATCGTCATCAAATTTTGTACACACCTTGTCAAGGGTACAGAAACGGAGATGGGGTACTTTTTGTCCAGAAAAAATATACTGCTCCCGAAAGATCGTTGATGATTTTCGGCAAGTATTTAAAACAGCGGTCGGGGAACTTTTTTAATCATTACCCCAAAATATTTTTGTGTAAGTTGATGTTACCCCATGACGAAGAGCAAAAAAAAACGAAATCGCCTCTTTTTAGCATCTTTCATATTATAGCCCCGATGATAATTTTGAAAAGAAAACAGTAACTAAAAATTTAATTTAGACATCATTTATTCAATTTATCAATGTAATACCTAGTAATATATAACGGTAATAATAGTAATATATGTAATATACAGTTGAGGAAAAAAAATTTGCCCCACAGAAAATATAAGTAAATGATAATTTCTTGTTATTTTGTAATTCATATGATATTTTTCTTGTATTATTAGACGAAAAAACTAGTTTAAATTTTATATATAGCCCCCATAAAAAATATTTTTTATTTTGGAGAAATGATGTTGTTTCATGTTCGATACAATTGCTTCAAAATTGGGACTTTTTGATGTAAGAGCGATTTGAATACAGTCTTCGGCGTTTAATCGATTTCTGTTCTTCGTTTTTAAGTTTAAGTTGAAAAAAATACTAACAGGTTTATAAAATAGCAAATTAAAAATATATACTTTTTACTCACAAAAGTTTCATTTTTACC